AGAAGTTAATTTAAAATAAAATTTGTTCAATATATTTTTGCAAAATTAATGCAAATCAATTATCATTTATTTTACTTTTGAATTACAAATTCGACTAATTGAGAAATTAAAAAATTAATTTAAATGAAATTTGATTAATGTATTTCTGTAAAATTAATGCAAATCAATTATCATTTATTTTACTTTTGAATTATAAATTCGACTAACTAAGAAATTAAAAAATTAATTTAAAATGAAATTTGATTAATGTATTTCTGTAAAATTAATGCAAATCAATTATCATTTATATTACTTTTAAACAATAATTAGTTGTAAAAGTTTGTAGCAAAATTTTTTTTTTTTACAGAAGAAATAAAACGACTATCAGAAGAACAACGACATGTCATCGAGGAAACATTTAAATATCTGTACAATGATTACGAGAAAAATGGGCATAAAATTTTCTTTTTGTAAGAATCAATCTTACCTTTTAACCCTTTTTTTTGTACCATAAATAAAGAAGGTATGTGATCATTATTTACTCAATCAATCTATCAAATTATCCATGTAATCATTTATTTTCAATAAAATATGATTAAGTAATTAATTCATTTATCAGATAATGATAGAATGGCTAACATGATAAAGGATGAATTCTTTATTTTTATTTAAAATTTCGTAATCAATTTAATAATTTTCTTACAGAATTTTCTACAATATAATTTCCGCTAAATTGCAATATTATTTAGGAAAATAATGAAATTTTTAGCATTAACTAAATATGCAATAAGTAAATTGCAAAAATTACAGAATGGAAATAAAAGTAAATAAATTGTGGCATATAAAATAGTTAATTAAAAAAAATATATATATATTAGGTAAAATATGTTAGGATAATACTAATTTAGTAAAAAATATTTAGAAAATGTGATTATTACATATTTACTGAATTGATAGGTTAACTAATTACTGAATCATTTCCATGAATAATTCCAAATCCTTTATTGTTGATAAAATGACAGTATATGATCGTTATAGTATCCATTAGAAAAATCATACTATTAGTTATGCAGAATTTGAAATTAGTAAGTTTTGATTTGTTCGGTTATATTTTCAATTCATATTTTCAATTCACTTTTCAATTCATATTTTTAATTCATATTTTCAATTCACTCATAAAATACATCTTTTGATGGGAATATTTAGATTATTAAAATTTAGACATATTCCCTAGCTAAATAATGTCATATATGAGAAATAAAAATCATGAACTATACGTTATGGTTTAATTTAGCTGATTTTGTTCATTTATTCGGTACTTTCTTCAAAACATGCATGTATGTTCAGGTTATTCAGCGACTTTCCGGAATATAAACAAATATGGCCACAATTTCGTGGTATTCCGGATAGCTTAATTATAACAGCAAATGAAGTGAAAGGACATGGACTGGTTTATATGGCCGGGCTTAAATCTATTATTGATAACATAAAAAATGAAGAGAAATTGGTGAAAACGATAAGCAAAATTACTCTTGCACATTTGAAATGGCACATTTGCAAAGATCACATCATGGTATGATGCATTTTAGACAATTATTATCATTATTATTATCAGTTTTCATTATTACTATTATTATTATTGCTATTATTATTATTATCATTAATAACAATATTTCTCAGCTATTATTATTATTATTATTATTATTATTATTATTATTATTATTATTATTATTATTATTATTATTATTATTACCATTATTTATTTATTTGAATCTAATTTCAGCTTTCATTATGCAAACTGTAATTTTTTTGTCACAATTGACTGAGTAAACCTCCCCGTAAAAACAGCACAATAAAGTTGCATTTCTTTCGATCCAAAATAATTCGCCATTTTATCACGAGTCACTTTCGTGCCATGTAGAAAAATAACTCCACCGCTAATATAGGAAGGATTAGTCATCTCTTACGCTGAAGTTTTGATAAATCTGGAACTTTATTTCACATTGCGACTCATTGATGTTTTTAGAACATGCTAAAAGAAGTGATCGTAATATTGCAAGCCGATCCTCACTGTCAAGGAAGAGATGTGGAAGAAGCTTGGTTTACACTGTTTGATGTGATTGGGAATCTAGTGGACAAATTTAGCAAATAAATATATCAAAACATTGTTCCCTCCTCCTCATGCAAAATCCAAACAATATTCTGCAGATAATACAACCATTATGTTTGAACAGTTATACTACTAAAGCATCGAATTCTCAGTTTCAACTGTTAACGAATTCACTCCTTTTTATGACTCAGCCTTGGTGCTGTCAGATGTTATTTTTTCACGTATTTCAAATTCTCATAAACGCGTCTAATTCTTCTATAATGCACTGAAAAAACTAATTGAAATTCAAATATTTTACCACTTTAACCTTTCATTTAACAGAAAACAGTACGAAATACATAACAAACACCTTATATTTTATGTTCTCAACGTTTACGACGCAGCGACAAAGTATTGCGACGTAGCCAGCACTTTCTACGTGAACCTCCCTTCGTTGCTGAATAATGATGCCCCTTACCAAGACCACGGCTTCTGCGACCTGCAGACGTTAATCCACGCAATTCGCGATGTTTATGCACAGGTTTCGTTATCCACTGTGTGTCTGGATTTCTTCGAATGGCCTAAAAAGTAATGAATATCTATTTCTTTCCTTACTGTTAACCCTGATTGTATCACCATTTGAAGAAGGCTACATCGTTCGCACAATAAGTCCCATTACAATGTGATGGATCTACTTCCCAATGATAAAAGAAAGCAAGAATTATAAATCTGCATGACTATAAGTTTACAAATAGTCTATATACAAAAGACTAGCCTATTAATACGATCTCAACCTGATCATTTATCTGTATTTCTGCACGTGAAGGGATAATGTAATAAAAATGAAACAGTAGAAGAAACCTTATGCATCGGATCAATCATAATAACTTCATAGAATTTGTACGTAGAATCTTGACCAACCCAATAAGAATTCAATACACGAAGACTGCCACATCGGCGTCCAACTCTTTCCTGTAAACAGATGCTTTATCATAATTTAAAGTCACAGCGAAAAGAAAAGAAGATAGAAAGCAAGAAAGATAAGCAGCGAAATAAACCTCAGCAACAGACTGTTTGCAGCGAGCAAATTTTAACTCATTAACGCCATGATTTTTCGGTTTGCCATATGTTTGGCCTTTCACGACATGGCGCTTACGACCACCTCTGCGTACTCTTACACGATAGATAATATAACCTGAAATTCCATTTTAATTTTATAATTAAATTGTCAAACTTTCGAACAACAAGCGGAAACAGACGACAGACTGGCTTACTTTTATTGATCATCTGGAAAAGTATTCTTACTGTTTTATTTTAAGAAAATGAACCAAAAACTACCTTGCTTCGCACGGTAACCCAATCTACGAGCCTTTTCAGGGCGAGTTGGCCTGGACACACGATGAATAGCGGTAAGCTGTCGATACTGCCAACACCGTATTCGAAGCAAATAGCGCATCGTCTAGAAACAGAAATGGGAAACTACAAGGAACTCTTAAAAATTGCTAGTGATCTGTTTCCCGAAACAGCTGAAGTAACTTAACGTTTCCCAGCAAAAGATTATGTGATAATTAGGAACCATGAAATCATTTTTTTTCGTCGCTCACCCACACCCACATACCATTAACCTTTTCACAACCTATTTCATTACCCTTTTTCTTTCTAATCATAGCCATGTCTATATATGAAGAAAGAAACTATGTTATCGAGTGATATGAATTCTTCAAATGTTTCTTTCTAATCATAGCCATGTCTATATATGCAGAAAGAAACTATGCTATCATGTGATATGAATTCTTCAAATATTTCAGATCACTGCCTCAATAATCATAGCCGATCACTCAACCCTCCAGTGATCTCATAAATTCACTCTATCCACGACTATGTATTCATAGAATTCATCTCATCGTTGAATACCTTGATATTGACCTAATTCTGCAGATTTTTGATTTCTTCCGATGATTTGGGCCCTTTTATTCGTCGTTCGGACTTCCGCAATATCAGAACTACCTCTCATAAAAGTGTTTGAAAATTGCAAACAAAAAAAGAAACAAACCTCTGACTGCTTCTTACGCCACAGCTCCTGCATATATCGGTAAGCACCCATATTTCCTGAAAAAAAAAATATTACCAGTGTAAGAATATGCCACTATAAAGTGACCAAAAATAAACGTTGATATAATCTGATCATATGCTAGTAATGGTGATTGTCACGTGCATCCATAACACTGCCACCTTATCACTGTAATAGTAAAGTCAGGTCTTGCAGTTGCTGAATGAAATTTCTCTCTTTAAATTTCTCCCGGTCTATTGAAACTTATCACATCAGTGAATGCCTATTCTGACTAAATTTATACTGTTAAAAAGCCGATTTGTAAGAAGCATTCCAGAATGTTTCTATGCTATGGAATATCTGTTGCACACCATCAAGAAAACAATCGAAAATATGATAATACATAGAGGGATGACGAGGAAAACAACCAGAAAAGAAAGAACTATAATCTTTCCAGGAAATATAATAGAAACAAATAATCGTGAGATTAATTCCAGACTACTGTAAGTTTGTCACTCATAGTTAGACCGAACATGATGAAGCACAAACCAATCTGAATATCACTGGAATAATGTCAGGTTATATCATTAACTTATCCTAATTACATGATCGGAAAAGAGCAAATGTGTAGTGGAAGTGTTGCTATGGAATAGAGTAACGTAAATTCATAACATAAGTAACATAAATTCATAACGTAATTCTTAAACACTAAAACAGTCAATGTAATTCGCGTACACGTTACTCGAAGTAATACATAGTCACATGACATGTATCTTACATAAGTATGACATCTGTACTGATATTAAATTGTGTAGGAAATAATTCCAAGAATT